GAGTGGGTTCAGGAGGCCCAAGGATGATACCTTGGCCACTCCCCCACCTGTTGGGGAAATAGTATCTACACCAGCTGCGGCCTGGACTCGGTCGTCCCGTTCACGTTTGCTGAGGACCGGGGTGTCGACGGTCATGAACACCGCGGCAGCCCCAAGACGCTCAGCTTTGTGGATCAGGTCTGCCGCCTTTTTCTTGTCGCGGTTGGCGTAGAGCTGCAGGAAGATCTTCTGGTCTGGTCGAGACCGTGCCTTGAAGATGTCCTCGTGGGGAGAGCCTGTGGGCATCAGATACGGCAGCCCCTCCTGCCCCGTGACGGAGGAGATGATCTTCTCGGCGTCAGGGTGGGCGTATTTCCCAATGCCCGTGGAGCTAATATAGATCGGCATTGAAGAGGGATAGCCAAGAATATTTGTCGCCGTAGAGACTGGCTCTACAGCGCGGAGGATGCGTGGCCGTACCGCAATTTTACTGAACAGGCGCCGGGCGTCATCGATGCAAATTTCATCGTCCGCTCCAGATGAGTAGTATGCCCATGAGGCAGGCGATAGGTACCTCTCGGCTACCTTTTCAAAGTCTGCGACACTGACAATGTTGTTCAGGGTGGGATATGGCGCAAGCTCGCCCCCTTTCTGTATATCCTTCTTGCTAGTAGAGACCATCTTGGAGAATGAGGGAGAACTGAGTAAAAACAGAATCAGGTATGTTGATTGTTAGATCAGGCGAACAACTGCCACTATTTTTCTAACATTCCAGAGTGTTTGGCAACTATGGCTCATAATAAATGCGCTTCAAGTAGCAAGGAAAGTTACCTGACCGCCGGGTTCGGAGAACAGCGATCCTTCATTTCCCCCTACCCCACGCCTCCGAATGCTGGCCACATTCCCTGGGCGTCTCCTCGATTGGCCAGCCCTGATCCGAGGCATGTCAAGGGTTGCTAGTGGACTTTGGGCACTAATCGCTCATAGCTTCTCCTATGCGGGCGTCGTAGCATCCCCACTCGTCAGCGCTTGTCTATGCTGGCTCGCTTGGTTTATGGCGGCGTCCAGACAATATCCACTGCATTGACAGAGTCTGGTGACATCCTAGTGTCCCCTTGTGTGCGTAGGCTCCGCGATGACTCGGTCAAGTGAACCCCCACGCCCTCGAGATTCCCCGCAGAACCGTCGAGAGCTGGTACTTGCGGGGAGACGATACGGGGTTCGTTTGGGCGTGGGGGTCGTGTTTGCTGCTGTGGCGACTGGACCTGGGGTAACGGATCCAAGGAGCCCCCTGGTTACTCTTCCCCGGACCCAGACCAACATCGTTAGCTGCAAAAGCTCTGCACTGTAGCGCCAAACCATGCTCTGTGTCAGTTCCACGGAGTCTTCCCGAGAGTTTCTAGCAGGCTTAATCAGGCTTGCACCACAATATTTAAGACCTCCTCCCAGCCTTCTTTCCTCTCCCTTGTCTCAGCACCTCCTCGCCAGCAGTCTCAGGCTCAACCACAAACACCCTCCTTGCGAGTCTTGCAAACTCGTTACTTCTGCGCTTTTACTACCTCGCTGTTTATTCCCGGAACCCAATATGAGTGAAAAACACGACACGCAGGCCGAGGAGGCCGAGGTTGTTCACGACCTCAAGGCCCAGGCCGTGGACGAATCAACCCGTATGCCCGAAGAGATTGCTGCCCTCTCCGAAGATGAGCGCCAGAAGCTCGGCAAGCGGGCAACGTTCAAGATGGACATTGTCGTCATGCCCGTCTTGGTCATCATGTACATCCTGAACTATCTCGATCGCCAGAACATTGCCAGCGCGAAGCTCGCAGGTATCGACACCGATCTGGGCTTGTCTCCTGTCCAATATCAGACTTCTGTCAGCATCCTGTTCTGCAGTTATAGTAAGTTTTTACCAGGCGGACAGTTGCTCTTTGCCCCAGATCCCCTTCGTTCGGAGCTGACAGTTTGATGCGCAGTCCTGTTCCAAGTCCCCTCCAACATGATCGCGAGTCGAATTAAATGGCCTGGTCTTTATATCTGCATCAGCATGGCTCTTTGGGGAGCCATCTCCGCCATCATGGCCTCTGTACACAACTTTGCGGGACTCGTGGTCGCCCGTATCTTCCTCGGGGCCATCGAAGCCGTCTTTTTCCCTGGTGCCCTGTACTTCCTCTCCCTGTTCTACAACCGCAAGCAGTTTGCTCTTCGAACTGCCATTCTTTACAGTGGATCACAGCTGGGTAACGCTTTCGGTGGCCTGTTCGCTATCGCCATCCTAAACCTTGACCAAGCCCACGGTCTCGCTGGTTGGCGCTGGGTACGTATATCCTCCAACAAGCTCTTAGACACCTAGCTAACTCTCAACAGCTCTTCCTCGTCGAAGGAGTCATCACCGTTGGTCTGGCTATCGTCTTCGCATTCATTCTTCCTAATTCGAACAAGAAGATCCTGGGTCTTTCCAAGTTGGAGTGCGACTGGATTCAGTGGAACTATGCTCAGGACCTGGGCCAGTCAGACGACGCGTCCCAGGAGATTACTGCTATGCAGGGACTGGTGATGGCTGTCAAGGACCCCAAGACTTGGCTCTTCACAGGCGTGCTTTACTGCGTAAGTATTTTCGCTACTCTCCGAAGTGGTAACCCGTCGCTAATCACCTTCATTTCAGACTTATATCGTCGGCGCTGTTTCCAACTTCTTCCCCAGCGTTGTCGGTGGCTTGGGATACAGCCGAAACATGACCTATCTTCTCACGGCACCTCCGTTCCTCTTATGTGTCATCTGCATGCTTGTCAACGGTTTCCACTCTGACCGCACCCGCGAGCGAGGCTACCACATTATGGGAGCTCTCCTCATCACCCTCGTCGCCAACATCATTGCCGTCTCTTCTCTTAACATTGCTGCACGATACGTCGCGATGATGCTCCTCCCCGCCTCCTTCTACTCCTCTGCCATCGTGACACTATCTTGGATAACCGGCTCCCTGTCCCAGCCAACCGCCAAGCGAGCCAGCGCCATCGCCTTCATCAACGCTCTCTGCAACACCCCCAACATCTGGTGCAGCTACCTCTACTACGGGGCCCCACGTTATTCCACGGCTTTCATCGTCAACGTTGCTGCGACTGGTCTTGCCATCGTTTTTGCTTTCGCCGCGAGAATTTACCTCCGTCGCGAGAACGCTAAGCTCGAGCGTGGTGAGGATGGTGGCAAGCATGGACCTACTACGGCTCAGGTTGCTGCTGGGTTCAGATATATCCTGTAATCTCTTGAACCTAGCATTCGGCTTAGGGCATTTAATACCAGCAAAGGAAACTTCCAGCCGGATCTTTGGCATCCAGAGACACATGTATTCTGGAAAGGGTGACGTCGAAGCAAGTTCCACTCGTCATGTGGATGCAGTGGCCTCAAAACTGACGAGATTAACTTTACTTTACATAAAGAATCGATAATGAATATTGTACATTACGGCATATGTCTTCTTGATTGCGTGATTTAGCCTGAAACAGAGGATGTTGTTGTTCTGAAGAAGTAGAGAATACGTCGGCGGTGTTTGCGTTCTCGCTGTGACTTCGTCTCCCAGCGCGCGCATGAGCGTTGGTCATGGAGTGTTCGTTTTCTAAATAGCGAATATGTATGCTTATTGAGGAACTTGTTCAAGTAAACGTAGCCGTACTTCCTCCGCCAACTCGAGGATCTCGTCCCAAACTTCAAGCAATGATAGTAGCTACTCCTTGCTCCAGCCATCAGCGGAGGTTCTGGGCAAGTTGGGCTCTCTGTTGGGCCATATTTACCGAGAGATTCCCTCATCCGAAGTTTTTTAGCATGTGATTACTTGTAAAAGATTCAACACGATCGGCATTCGCTCCCGCTTCGTACACTCCTGCGACTATCATGCCCGTTATTAGCGAAGTGATGAATGAATCAGCGGGGATAGCAGACCAGACCAAGAAAGAGCAGTCTTCTCTAAACGCCCTCTTGACTCCCAGGACTTGGAGCTTGAGGCACAGATATGCAACTCCTGGCAGAATTAGTGAGCAAAGAACGGTGCATTCTGACCTCACCCATGAGATTCAGTCAGCTCCGTAGTATGGTGAGGTGAATATATCAGCTACACACACAAGAATGTGAGTGGTCTTTGGCGGCTGTAGATCAGACTGTGTCGATTTTAGCTCATTAGCAGGCATATTTATTTCAGCCGGGATCCTCTTGGAGCGCGGGTTAGATGAGAGGGGCGGCTTTCTTAGTGCCGTCATCACGATCATCGTTGCCCAAGTTGCTTCCCATCCAGAAAGAGGATCCGAGGGAGATTCCTCAGACTATATAGTGTCTCATACACTCATATTTGTTTCTGGGGTTAACGTTAATAGCATAGCTATGTAAAGCCATGTTTCAAACTTGGTGGGTTTATTTATCTATCCATTCATATGCCGTCATTATAGCGATTCTTTGAGGCAACGGTGGATAATTGCGAGCTTAGAAAGGACGGAGCTCTATATATTGACCTCCAATTCTCGATTCGCTAAAACTCTTCTAGTGATTCAACATCAATTAAACATTATTGATTTCATTGGTGAAACGGACCTTAATGAGAAAAAGAGAGAAGGACACTTCAGGACCAGGTTAGCGGTGCAAGGTGTACCGAGAACCTCAATAATGAAACCAAGGGAAATGATGGGGATCGCTTTTATGGAGAAAGAGGATGGCCGCATTGAGCCAATGAAGATGCGAAGATCTAAAAGTCGCTGAAGGAGGCTCAAACAACAACATGAACCCAAGGCTGAGCAGATTGAATGCATACACGTCGACTAACGGAAGGGTTAATTACTGTAAACGATTCAACACGATCAGCATCCGCCAGCATTTCTATGTAGGAATTCTTTCCTCTTCGTGCCTTATTCTTTCAATGTCGGTTTATCACAACTGAATTCGGGGTACACTCTACAACGGCAAACACGTTGCTATCGATGAAAATGAGACGAGGACGCATTCATACACCTCCATATATGCCTCCGAATCCACGAACAACAATGCTCTATACACCCATTGTTGGGCTTTACCTACCACAATATTGGATCCTTTCTGAGGTCTCGCGGCCATCTTGGCCACGCAATGTAAGCCGTCGTTGCGATAGATCGATTAAATTGCTTCTTCCCCGCTAACTACCCATTCTCACCCCAAGCATGGCGCCTCTCTTTCGCCAGGTAGTTGAGGTTCTTAAATATTGCGAGTCTTGCGAACGAGTTGCAGCAAGGTCCGCGTATCTCCTCGCCGCGACATTGAACGAGTCTGGGGCGTTCGATGAGGCCGTCAAAGCTTTTCAGCAGGCTTTGGAAATCTCGAGCAGCATTCGGGAAGAGTTTGGCCCCGACGATATCAGCGAAGCCTACCTTGATCTGTTTGTTTTATATTCCAATGGATGAGGAGGGCCTCTCTACAATCCATATTGCCAAGATCCGAAGAGCCCTGACCAATTGCCCAATTGTGACAATGCAACCACGCAATTGCTGCCTCCTGTCTAAAGCCGGCTTCTTTCTTTGAACTAGGCTCACTTCTCCTGCGAAGTTTCTTTCTTTTATCCATCGATCGCAAATCAGGAGGGATCTTGCCCGCGGGGGGTGTACAGGCTACTGGTCGTATTACGTTTCCACGGTTCCAGCGGCGCCCAGTCCCTCAAAGGAAGGGCTTATTAATTTGAGATATATGAGTAGTACTAAAAGGAGAATGCGTATATATATGTCCAATTATGCTAGTTTCGTAATTTCATGTCCTGGTTCAAGCTTTCACGTTTTCGTGTGGGAGAGGAGGCATCTTGATAGTCGCAGCCGCCGAGCAACATATATACTTGTATGCGTTTTCTCCCACCCAGCTCTCTTGTAATATTTTAGACTAAGATATCTTCGATAACTTACGTGACATTCCAGCCCTTTTCATATTGTCTTTTACAGCTCCGGCGATCAAGCGAGCCATGCCGGACAGCGCCTTTAGTAAAGTGAATAGGACTAACAGTGTCTACAGAATCTTCTTGTTTTTTTCTTATGTGCGATAAGCAAAGAGATCTTGGACTCCAGATTACGAGCATTCCTGTCGATGCTCGGAGTTCTGCGCTCTGTAGAATAGAAATGGGATAATGATATCTGGATATAAGTCAACGCGAGTAGTATGGCTGTTCCTGGGAGACTTGTTGTAGGAGATGTGCCATGATAGTGTCAGAAACATATTCGACGTCTATTTAGAAATATCCATGGGTTCTCACGCTCAAGGTATCAACTTCTCTCGATTGCCGCTCCTCTGTATTTAACACTCTGATGATGTCGCTATCGCCTCTTATTTTAGCGCCTCGAATTTGCCTTTCAATGCCTACTTGAGTATGCTTAACGGTATGGAATTTCTGCCTTGCTGCAAGAAACAGGCTTGCTTGGTTTCCATTCTTGGCAACTGTACAAGAGAAGTTGGATGGTGTGTATAGCCAATTTAGGTCTAATATTCACTTCCTCGATTCCTATGGAATAATTCTGTCCCAGGCGAGCGGGGAGAACTTTAAGAGCATAAGTACCATGAATGAGTCCCTGTAACCGAGTTATAGGAGCTCGAAAGCGAGCAGCTAAATTGCATTGCTGTGATTACTGAACACGGGGTCTTGTTGTGGGGCCAAATACAACGAATGTTGAAAATCAGGCATAACTTCCCTCGTACAAAATTTCTCAGCCAAGAATTTGGCATTGAAGGATGGATCATGACGAAGCTTGACCTAGATTGATGACCGCCAGGCCTCAAAGGGATAAGCGTAACAGTCAGACGACACAATGCTTGGACAATTGGGCCAGCCGGAGACCTGACCTGTGCGAGTAGGGATGGAAAATGCAAGGGGAGCCCTGTAGCAGACACTGTTGTTGGAGGAAAGCAGATAATCCCAGCCAAAGGGTTACATTAGCGTTCTATTGTGCAACCACCAGCGGTGGATGTGCTGATGTTGTGCCAAGCGGTTTACAAAACACGATTCCCCATCAGGAATTCGCCGTCTCCAACGTTCCCGAGCTTATTATCGAACCACCCAACCAAGCGCAGCAAAGCCATCGTCTCTGCGAACCTCTCACCCGTCCAGCGATGCCGGGCGTTCCCAAGACACAGGGGTGCCAAACTTGTAAGCTCCGGAAGATCAAGGTAAGTCCCGTCCAGCCGATGTTCCCGACCGTGTGGTGAGGCCAAGTGTTGACTCAGCTGCAGTGCGACGAAACATGGCCAGCGTGCGCCAACTGCAGAAAATTCAAACTGCTGTGCCCCGGCCCGACGCAGCTGCTCAAGTTCCTGACCTTTGAGGCTCCGGGGAAGAAGAAGTCCCGGACCATTGCCTCAAATGAGCACGGCGCCGCAAGTGTCTGGCGCAGCCTGCAGCGCCGTGGAGCTCGCGGTGCTGCCAATGCTGGCGGTGAGCAAGGCATGGTAGTGATTCCCCGACCAATCTCACCAACGGAGGGAGATCGCTCTGTATCGCGCTTGGTCGCGCACCTGGAGACCGGGCTGAAAAAAATCGGGTGTCTCAACTTGAGTTTTGCCGTACACCTACCGAAGCGGCTGGCAGAGAGTACCTGCCTGCGAGATTCGGTGGACTTCTTCTGCAGAGCCCTGGTGGACTTCCAGAATCCATACCCCCAGGGGGCCGTCCTAGCATTTCCGCAATACGGGAAGGCCTTGAAGAGTCTGAGGATGGCGTTGGTCGGCGGCGAGGCCCTCAAGGCGGAGACACTGGCTGCCGTGGCAATAATAGAACGCTCCTCGAGCTTACTTGACCGATGGGGCAGAACGGGAAATATCCATTTCAAAGCCGCATTGCAGATTATGCGCCAGCGAGGCTCAATGGGTAGAACGAATGCCAACGACGAGCTGGATGTTGCCCTCTGTCGTGACCTTCACCAGCAGGCAGTGAGTGGAAACCTGGGTGTAGCTTCGAGAAAGCCTCAATAATGCTAACAGCAGGTTGTTGTTATAGATGTTTGGTTGGACAGTGAAAGAAGCCGATGAATCTGAGGAGGTGGTGCCATGGGAGGAAGCCTTTGCCAGAGTTGCCAAAGCGCAAGAAAAGGCTTCGCTAATGCAGCCCTTGGCACTTGAGGATCTAACGGCCCTCTCTGGGTGCTGCACCCATCTAAATGCGCGAGTGTCCCAGTTCCAGTCCTGGCTCAAAGAGCCGGACGCCAAGAACAAGTTGAAATTCACATATTGGAATAAAGACCTCAGTGAGATGGAGAAGACCATGACGGGGTTATCCAAACGGTTGGCTCGAAATGGTCTCAAACAAGGTCATATGGTGGTATTGCCCATGGACGATGACCACGTTCTTGAGACAAGATACCAATTCTCGTGGCCTTTATTATGCTTGCTGTATATGGTCCAGCTGTATACCCAACTGGTAGCTCTTACCGTCATGCAAGAGACTCACTCCATTCTACATGGCAAGGCAAGCAGTACGTTACACACCAGGCTCCGAGAAGTTGCCTTGGAGGTTTGGAAGTGCGGGCCGTATCTTCAATCTCTGGATCCCATGACTGGGCCCTTCCCAACAGCACCTATTTTCGCGACCTACGAAATTGCCAATCCGAAGGAGAAAGAATATGTGCTTGATTTGGTTCGGTACTTGGATAAATACTGGGGAAACTTGCCACGGACCCGTGAGGAGCAACGGCAATATTTATCGAAGATGGCTTTGGCTCTGACTGGTCGAGATCCAGATACTCCTTATTTTTAACATCCTGCTTCATAGCTCATCCATGTAGATGCACATACTTGGGTGCTCTCCTCAGCCGCGTGAGCCTGCCCACATAAGCCTGTTCTTTGGAGAGCCCACGCATACTTATCCGCCAATTTGCAACGCCAACATTCCTTTGACCTGCTCGCACGCGAACAGCCTTACCCATAATTAAGCCTGTACTCTAGTAGTAACCATTGATACAAGGGCAGATAATATTGTGCTGAACCAGATGAATCCAGCTTTGAATTTACTGCTCCAGGGAGAGTACAATGGATCGTGCCTGGTCCAGCCCACGGGTCTACAGTTTTGACTTCCGGGATAATGCTACTCTTCTAGCGGCATGTTATCTTATTATAGTTGAGAATTTGTTTGTGTGTGAGGCTGGTCGATGCCCTATTTAAGAATCCGAGTGCCGTCACTTTGGTAGCAGTCCTCGCTTAAAGACACGCCTCCGCATATAGATATTAATCAACTGGTCCATATTTGGTACTATTGTCTTCCAGAAAGTATTAATTTTCTTGAAGGAATAATTTGTTCCTGGATCACTTTCTCACTCTTCCCCAATTAGAACACAGGTTCTATTTAGTTTGCTTTTTTTAAGCTTATTTGTTCCACGTGTCGGTAGGAGTTATTGTTGATCTTGGTAAGTCTGGAAGAGACTCTAATCTCCACCACTGTCCTTCAGGAGCCGGGCCACTAAAGCCAAAGGGCTCCTAAGCTTGCATTTATTAAGACATTGTCTACTTGGCGTTCCTCTCCCTACGGGTTATTTATTCCCATCGATATTTTCTGCCTAAGCTGAATCCGGATACAGGGTAGCTCAAAGTCACGACTCACTGATGTTTACTAATGGGCCCATGTGGCTGTGGAGGCTGGTGCAGAACTTCCTGGTACCCGCTGTCCAACTCTCATTTGGTGCGACGACAAGTACTCGCACGGACCCTCCAGCACCAGCCACAGGTCTCACCGCTCGTGCCCAGCCTCACATTAATTTCTTCCCAACTCTGGCCGAGACGAAACGACAGAGCAGCAAACGGGCGGGAGCGACGAGGCCCCCCAGCTTCAGCATCAATTGTACAACGGCCGATTCAATTAGCATCTCATTTTCGCCATGGCAGAGTTCCGCCCGACCTCGGCCCTCGAGGACCCGGTCCCGAATCTGATGCCCGGAATGGCAGCACACGACCTCAGGGCCGCTATTCTGACGCGCCTCGAGAGCTACCGCGAGCTCCAGGCGAGCTCCGCGCATATCCGCCCGCCACCAAGTGAGTTCCATCCCGTTCATTTCGTCAGGTGAAACACCCGCCCTTTAGAGTTCCCGGCTGCTGACCCGGAGCTTGTTTTAGGCGACCCGGGCAACCCGCACACCTCAAAGCTTGAAATGTCCCAGGCCGCGCTGCTAAGACACATCCGCCTGCTCACATCGCTGACCACGCAGCTGGAGAAGAAGCTCGACGACAAGAGGTGGATGAAATGGTTTCTCGGTCCCGTTTTGTAAGTCCTGCGCAGCGTGCATATGCAGCCCCCAATCCTTTCCCCTTTATTTTCCCTTTACGTTACATCAGAGCAACGCGGGTCTGACAATATGGTCCCTCTTTTCTTCCTCTTTTGCAGAGCGTTGCTGGGTCGAATTTTCTACCTCTCGCTGTACAAGCTGCCCTACTTCCGCGGCTGGTCTCCCTTCCGCTTGCGGAACGCAAAGGGCGAGCCGCGTCCCGCCCTATTGGAGATCCTGGCCCTCGCGCCGTGGTTCACGTGGCCGCTGGGTGCCTGGAACATCTACAAGTTCGAGAAGAAGGTGCGCAGGACGGCCCGGCTGCGGGAGAACCTGGGGGAGATGGAGTTCGAGGTGGAGCGGGCCTACCCGGTCCAGCAATCCTCCGAGTGCCTGCAGAGCTCGAGGTGGGATAGTATTCCCTGGGAGGAGAAGTCTGGGTTCCGGTGGTCGTGGTGGGGGTAGATGGTTTGAGCAGGTCATCTCACCGTGAGTTCCTCCAGGTTATGATACGCTGTTGACCGAGAGACGTATGTCTGGCAGCAGGTTGGGCATTGGCGATTGTACCTTATCTTGATGTAGAGCCATTAGGCTCTTATCTCTCTATTTGTCGTTGATCTAGTTTCAAGTTTTAAGTATATACCAAACCCTAGACTGTATTAAGAAAGAAGAAGGATGAGATCTATCTACCCCTGGCTCAGGGGAATATCTACTGAGCTTCGGACTTTGATTTTTTCCCCCGCGACGGCCATGACGAGTACTGTTTATGGCTTGGACCGAGTTTCCCATTGTTCTTGGCGGCGGTGCGTGTGGCTGTGGGCTCCGTCCTGGTGGAACTGTTGAGGCGAAGCATTCACGGATTCTGTGACCGAGGCAAAGGTGGAGAGAAGCATGTGTGGGAAACTCACCAGATTTCATTGCAAAGATCGAGATTCTTATCTTTCATAGTGTATTCTGTGTCTCCCAAGCATTAGAAATTGCCCAAATTGAGCCTTATGAATTGATTGAGTTGTTCAATTGCTTAAGAAGCGATATAAGCGGAACTTGCGATACCTAACTACTTAACCAATAGCTAGGCTAACCTCATATGGAAATTGAGAGACGATGGCTCTTGGCTTTTGAAAGCCGTATTCCTCGTTAAGATGTCAATACTACCCTGGGGAGGCCACAGCGGAGAGAAGCTTCTCATCTTAATCCGCTCATCTCTCAACACCAAGCATGAAGCCCACCACTGCTCCCGCGCAGCTTCCCATCAGAACTCTCCAAGGTACGGAGAAGTCCGCAAGCTCCTGCGCCTTGAACTGGGACAGAAGGCAGCATGCCGACAAAGAAGACCGCGACTCCCTGGATCTTGGGGAGTGGACTACCTTTGAGGCCTTGGAAGCCGAGGTGCAGCGCGGCTGTGACAAGTGCACCGTCATTTACAAAGGCACCCAACTCTATCGGCCAGAGTTTGAGGGGAGATCAAATGGAGCATACATACATCAAACCGATAGCGGCATAACATGTAGTATCCAGCGAAAGCTACAGAAGGGTGAAATGAGTGTTAGCCCCGTGGATCTTCGATTCTTTCGCGCCGCCGGTACAACCCTCTCTATCTATTGAATCCCAAGGTGTGAACGGGTATCGTCTAACTTGTTTCCACTAGATCAACCCTGTCAGTGGCTCCCGGCTCTGCATCATCCTCAGGTGCGCCCAAATACAAATTGCCCTGAGACCTTCCAGCAACTGCGTGACTGGATCAGCACCTGTGACAAAGATCACGAAGTTTGCTTGGTCTCATCCACCGTTTCGCTGCCCACCCGCATTCTGGATCTTGGAGGGACCGATGAAGAGCATGCCGATGCGAAGCTACGCAATGGCCAGAATGAATCGGGGCGGTACGCAACGCTGAGCCACTGCTGGGGAGGGTACCAGCCGCTCAAGACAACCAAGAGCACGCTCGATGCCCACACAGCCAATATCCCGTTCCAAGACCTCCCAAAGACATTTCAGGATGCCGCAATTACTTGCCGTAGGCTGGGAATTCGATTTCTCTGGATAGACTCTCTGTGCATTATCCAGGATGACGACGAGGACTGGCAGATCCAGTCGGCTCAAATGGCCTCCATTTATGAGAATTCTACATTGACAATCGCCGCCTCGTCAGCCCAAAATGCAACTCGAGGGTGTTTTCTTCCCGTGCCCGATCGGCACGCGGCGCATACGGTGGCTTGGCCCGGAACATTACAGCAAAGCTCATATTCTGTCAGTGTCTACCGGTCATATCCGCACTTTTCATTCTGGGAGGGAAAACATGTGCAGCAACAAGCTCCGCTGCTCACGAGGGCATGGTTCTACCAAGAGCGGTACCTCTCACGCAGAGTCGTTCACTTCACCGAGAACGAATTGGTCTGGGAGTGCCAGACCGTAGCCACCTGCCAATGCCAATCATCTCATTTCGAACACCTGTCGTCGCCCTCGGCCGAATACACCCCGATGGACGTCATCAACAGGAACCAATTGAGACTCCAGCCTAAACTTCCTGATCACATCAACCATCGCGATAAGCGGGACGCCGATCCTTGGCATCTCTGCGTGAGAGCTTATTCTCAGCTGTCATTGACATTCCCAAAGGACATCTTCCCCGCGCTTGCCGGCCTGGCAAGCAAGGTACAGCTTCTTAAACCGGGCGCCAGGTACTGCGCAGGCCTGTGGCTCGACCTGAAGACCAACAACCTGAATGATTTGGCGTGGATCAACGAGGGAATCCCGAGGTCGCGACAGAAGCGATGGAGAGCGCCGACGTGGTCCTGGGCTTCTGTTGTAGAGTGCTTCCCCTCGTGGGCGGACTGGATAGACTTGGATCCCAGCCATACCTACGCAAAGCTCCTCGAGGCCAAGGTCAAGTCGTTTGGCCTGGATCCGAACGGCGAGCTGCGCGATGCCTTTATCAGGGTGCAAGGGCCGATGGCGGCCGGGTTCATACAGAAGCCCACGCTCTCGATTCCGGACAAGAATAATGTGCTTCACCCCCGTGGCGCAGAGGTCTACATCCGCGGCGAGCCCTACAGACTCCCGCCACTTGTCCGGTTGGATGTGAACCCTGAGCTGTGCGAGCCGAAACTTAGTCCGGGAGCGCAGGTCTACTGTTTGCGACTTGGCAGGGCGGTTTCAAGCGGGAGCCGGGAACATGACATTTCGCTTTGTCTTCGAGTTGTGGACGAGGAGGATGGAGAACCGATATTTGAGAGGATCGGCCTGGCGCACCACGATCATGTACTGGATCCGACGGAACCAACCTCGCTATATAGTGTCAAGATCGTTTAGTTTAGGGACTGCCAATGCCAGGCACGTTCTGTTTTGTGCGAGCTCCTGACGCTATTCAACGTTATGCGTAATACGACTTATCTGATGATCAGTCGGAAGTGCATCGCCTGGTCCTAGATGCAGACCGGTTTCAATGCCATATCATCTGCGAGTGCTGCTGGGGCCGGTGGTTCCGACGGTCCCAGTTTACAGTGCAGTTGCAGCCTGCATCGAGGCGGTTCTAGGCTCTGCTGCTGCTGCTTAGACAGTGGTTGAGTGGTCCCTGGAGCTAGGGGATGGGGCTAGGGGATGTAGGCGCTGTGGACCGCCCAACCATCATTGAAAGCTTCTTTCACGATCCCCGCAGCCAGTCTGAGGTGGTGTGGTGTCATGCAGTGACAGCTAATAACATGCAGAGCTGGTGGGGAGCTGCCCGTTGTCGGCATGCAGGCAAGTGGGTGACAGGAGAAATGAGACACCTAATGGAAGAGTTGGTTATAAACAGACTACTTTCTACAATCAATAGAGAAATTCAGTAGTATAAAATGAAATTAAGTGATAATATCCGCTATATTGTCTCTGTGGTAAATATTATTAGCACTTAATAATCTGATAATATCGATCGCAGACTTGAAAATAAGCAGCTTAATGTTTGAGTGTCTCAATTTCAATGTCACCCACTTGGCAGGTTCCTGGTCCAGAAGGTGGCAAGCAACAAAGCTAGGTGTGGTGGGGTGGGCTGCTGGCAAGATGCGATTGTGATGATGGAGGATGGCGCAATTGACTGGATTATTGGCGGCCATTGATGAAGGAAATTAGGAATCATGATCTGGGCAGCATCGGGGTGAAATAAAATATCCTGTTTCCGCGATCCTGTGCGTCATGACATTGCCCGCATTTGCCTCGTCGCGGCGGCGATCACGGTCATGTGATGAGTCGCCTGCGACAGAACCCCCCACGGCCAACCGATCCTGCGATGGTGACACTCACGACATCGGGGGATAGGCAAAGGCACAGGAGTCCGGAGGTTTTGACCCTCCAACCAAGCAAGTAGAATAGGGGTTCAGGGTGTTGTTGATCGGTGGGTAAGACGCCACGAAGCCAGTCATTAGGGCTTCCAAAAGGGGCAATCCCATCTGCTCGGATGCTATGGAAAGGGTATGCCGCCACGGGCAGCCATTCCGCAGAGAGGTTAAATGGGGCTTTTAGAGTTTGGAATCGGATGTAAAAATGGGAGTGATCACGCGCTCGGGAACAGTGGACAAGTCTGTGGGTCTGTGAGAGGCCATTCCAACAGCTCTCCCCGCGTTCCGACCAGCATAAGCATAGTCAGCCACAGACGCCGTTGCAGATATCAAGAGGCCGCTCTGCCCTCTTCTCAGACCAGATCATACCAGTTGTCTGTAGATTGTAATCCTCTCACATTGCACTTGACAATGGCCCAGCCAACATCCTTTGACATCCTCTCCCTGCCCGTCGAGCTGCAGTGCCTCAGCATCAGCTTCCTCGACCCCGCTACCCTCGTCTCCCTCAGCCAGGCAGACACCTACTTCCGCCGTCTCATCCAGCCGGGACGCCATGAGATCGTCCAGCGCCTATTACAGCTCGAGTGCACAGAAGAGCATGGAGGCGGCCTGACCGACCCTCTCAATCCCCCCTCGTGGATCCGTCTTGCCTCCAAGTCGATGCGGGGGCGCTGGGCCTGCACCGGCTGCCTTCGCCTCCTCCCTCATGCCTCCTTTGACAATCACAGCCTCCTGCGTCTTGGCTACAGGAAACCTGTTGCTGGTTCCTCCGCCGCCGACCCCATCACCGACTGGGGCGCTCCCCGGAAGCGTTGGGGACGACGATTCCACCAGCCCAAGGAGTCAGAGCAGCCACTCCAAGATGGTGATGCCGAGCGCTGGGGGAGCAAACGCCATCTCCGCAAGTGCAACGAGTGCCGCTTCCAGAACAGAGAGCTGGGCAAGGCCAACTCCCGCGAGAGAGGCACCCCTGCCGTCCCCATCCAGCCCAGCAGGGGCCTCGCCTTCGCCTCGTCACGAGACCGCTTCTTCCCCGGACTCGCAGAGCATGTGGGGCTTGGACCCCTCTCCGACATCGTCGCCGGCTCCAGCCGCTCCCAGCAGTTCTGGCCCACGCGCATGATTCGCTGCCCCGGGTGCACCCAGTGGCAGGAGATGCGCTCGTTCCGCCTCGGCACCAAGAACTCGCGGTGGGTGCCCATCTATGCCGACGGGGAGCCCGATTTCTGCGCCTGGAACTGGGACGACACCAAGCTGACCAGGTCGGTCATGGACGAGCTCCGGTGCAACTCTTGCTTCGTCGACGAGCATGGCGTCGATGCCCTGGCCAGAGTTCTCTCCGGCTGGGCCAAGAAGCTAATGAGATCCGAGGTGTCCTCGGCCGAGTTTGCCCTCTTCAGCGGCTGGGAGGCTGTCCGGTCGAATCTCAAGCACATTCCTCCCGACTACCAGCCCCAGTTCGAGGAGATCTTGCGCAAGCACGAGCCCAGCATCCCGGGTCCCATCAATGCCAAGACCCTCCCAGTGTACAAGTCTGCCCACGATGAGCTTCGCAGCGCGTGGGATTACATGGCAGCCAAGGAGGAGGGTTCTTTCTCGAGCTTTGATGGGCACGGATTCGACCAGTGGCTGCACCACTACCATGTGTACGAAGCAAGATGGGAATTGATGACGAAGCTTCATGCTGTTGTTGTGAGACAGCCGGAAGTGCTCGCTGCCTGGGCGTTGAGTTGAGACATGGCGTCGCGTTGTGGATTGGCGAGTTCACTGGAATGTCCGGCTTTGGAATTTAATCGCCATCACCTTTTCTATTGTTATTGTTATTCTTGTACGCGGGGAATGGAACACGAACCCCTAGATATGACTTAATGTATAATGAGACGTAATTAATATCAAAGCGCGTTGAAACTGCAAGAAATCTCGGCTCTTGTTATTGATAAACAGTCGGAAAATGTACCACATATCCGGAACCAGAACCATGATCGCGTTACCCAACTATAGTGGGTGATATATCATTTGTGACAGGCTGAGCGTCATAATTACTCGTATGAATGATACAGCGCTTGTCATACTGCAGATGATGGAGAAGCGATTGCAGTGAAAACGGGGCGTGTAGAGAAGCATAAGGTTATCCTCTTGAAAGCAGTACGGGACTTTCTTCTCTGCACCTCGAGTTAGTGATTTCTATTCAAAGAACACCCGTGTTTGAAAGTATCATATAGGATACCCCTTTTCTTTAAACAGCACTTCTTGCCCAACCGCCATCGACGGATTGACATTTTCCAGATTTTCAGTTTTCTATTTCCTCAACAACTTTTACAACCGACTGGGCCACCATACCTGGAAGTAACATTACGATGAGTGTGTCTTGGAGATAAATGACAAGATAAATACGACTTCAGAAGCTGCTGAACTTGCAATGGCGGATTGATTTGCTGTCAGTGTATATATCGGAGGGAGTCATGTGATGCTGCAAGTCAAATGTTGACCACAGGACGCAATATGCTGTGAAGAAACTCATGAGGAAACACTATGACGCCATGACTTACAATCTCAACCCACTTTCAATATTCTTGATCATTCAAAACTAGGATCATTCTTAACTCTGAAATCTGCCAATCACGTCTCGTCCATATGCAGTAGCCTAAGTATCTCAAAGTCTCAATCTCATCCAACCAACCAATTGAATTTAAACGGCCTTTCAAGTTGATAGGGGTTGAGTCTCTCACCTCTAAGGGCATTCAGGCCGACAGCGGGTATAGAATCGCGGTCGAGTGGTTGAGTAAGCGGTAAGTATGAACGAATTTATCAGTTCTGTGTGAGGTAGGTACGTTGAGTGTGGATATGAGAACTGGGCGCTACGTTTGATCTACGTTTTTTCTTTTCTTTTAAAAATCTATCAGATGGGCAGTGCCGTGATTCTACCTCAAATCCGGTCTAATCTTCTCTTGTTGGCGCCATATTTTCATGGCTTGGTGGCTACCGTAGAACGAAAGCCTTGGTGCAAACCTCACCATAGATTATTGGCGTGACGTGGCATCAGGTCGATCCTGCTCATACTATGCCAAGAGAGCAAAGACAAGCTGGCTCCAATTTTTGTGTTACAGGTGCATCACCGCAAGCGGGAAATGGCCGTGGCAGCCATGTATGAGAGGACCAACAGACTGCAATGCCAGAAAACTGCAGGGGTTGATAGGCTTTGATGTTGGTTGAGAACGAAAGATGAGCAACCAACACTGAATTGAGTACTTTTTAAGGTTAGTACAACCGGGTCTTCGCTGTAAGCGCTGAGAATTTATGCGCCTGGCTTAAAGAAGAGACTTGAGCCGAAGTAATTCATCCAGGTAATCGATGAGAGAGTGGTGCTGCTGGCTCAGTTGTGAGATTCGCCCACCAAACATTGTATTTTGGCACTGATGATTGCAACGAACAAGACACAGAGAATGCCCTGGAACTCGCGATGCGCTGATAGCGATCAATCTTTGATCAGTGATGGCCGGATCCCCTTGCTCAAGGGGTGGGGCGGCTGGGCAGGTGAGATGAAGGGCTAGGAGGGTCGATCTCTGCCATTGATCCAACTGGTTGACCACTGTCTGTCGTCGACGAGGCGCTGAAGGCCCGTCTCTCGATCAGACTGTCCAGTGACATCCACTAGATGAGGCTCCAGGTCTCACCAACATGCATGCGATGTCACGCCACGCAGGACCAACAGCAGCTGAGTCCTTTGCCTGCGAGGAAGTCTTTCCCCTTTTGCCAGTGGAGCAGACACCCAGCCAAGCAATTTGGAGTGCTAGAAATTCGTAAAAGACCAAAATCCCCAGGATGGACCGATCTTTTGTTGCCTGGGAAAAGCCGCCCCCAACGCCTTGAGCTAGGAGAGACATTCTCGGCAAACAGCAACATTAGCACTGCTAGCCAAACATGCGTCTTGCTCCTTTTTTGGGCCTGGTCGCCCTTGCGCTCACTCCCATCGTGTCCGCCGACTTTTTGCGCAGCGAGTTCAACAACTTCCTGCCACAAATCAGTGACGGCTTCGCATTCCTGCTCACCAGTGACGAGCACTGCGGTGCGGCGTACAGAAAACACCTCGAGTATCAACAAGAGAGGAGAGAGGGAAAAAGAAGATCCACGAGGGTCCCCGACGGCGAGCTTGATGACGTGGAGCGCCTGTTCCATGTTGATACAACAACCCTCCTTCTTGTCGAATGTCTGCTCCAGAATGCACCGGAGCTCACCAAGGCGCTCATGGCTGCCTCGCAGGTGCTTCTCGGCGTGGCTCCTACCATCCTCGCGCTGCTGGGACCCAGCGTGGTGCAGATTGGCGTCATTGCTGCGGCGGGCAGACAGTATCCTCTCGCCATGCTCCTGGCACTTGCATCACCGACCGTGAGCCCATCATTGGATCACAGCTCCGTGCGGCAGATTTTCCAGGACAAGAAAGGAAGAGTGGGGACATTCCCATGGAGGCCGAGAGGTGAAGAAGCGTCGAGGAGAAAGAGCCTGTGGCCCGTATTGGGCCAGTCGCTCGCGTATTTGCTTGCCATGGGTTCGATTGCCAACGTTGCCGAGCTTTGCTACCGTATCAGCTCCCGGACGGTCTTTACGTTTGCCACGCGGGCCGGTTTCCTCATCTATATTTGGGCCTTTGTCGGCCTGACGATCCATCTCCTTGGTGCCCTTGCTGTCCATCTCCGCATTCAGCGTGCGCCCTCATCGTCAAAACGGTCGGCCAATGAGGATCATATGTTGATCAACCACGACGACGGTGATAGGAAGGACCGCGTCCAGGTCCTCAAGTCGACGGCAACGTCGACAGTTCTGACGTGGCTGGCCGCGTTGTATACGACTGCTCATGTTTTCTTGGGAACTCTGCTGTTCTCTAGCATCTTATTCGTGTCAGTCAACGATGCCATCCATATCGTATTCCGGTTCTTGGCATCAACTCTTCTTTGCCGGCTCATTGTTGAATTGGAGACCGCATATGTGCTCAGTCGGTTGGAAGTGACGGGTAGCGGCGAGGGGCTAGGCAGAAGGGTTCCTACCGCGGCAGAGATGAATCCATACCCGGGAAAGTGACCAATTTCATGGCCGGATTTCTGGACGCTAAGTTCAAAGTAAGGGCATAGAAGAGAAATGTCCTAGAAGTGGGCTGTGCCGGATAATAAAGAGTTGAGTGGACGGTCGGGACGGAGATTTTGGCTACACTCCGGCCGCCGCCGTCACAGCCAGCACAGCCTCTTGTCTGGTGGGCGGTTAGCAGGGATAGATGCTGATTCCCAATGTGGATATACCAGCCAGTTAAAAGTTGAATAAATCATAGGGCGTCGTTGGTCTGAGGCTTGCCTAGTGAGTGGCACCTCCGAGCTGTGGCTTGATTGCCACACTCTGAGGATAGATTATGTTGTGTGTTTACACGATGATGTGGCGCAGATTTCCTTTGAAAGAATCATTTATCCATTTTTGACTAGTAAATTGTCTTCGACTTGGCCTAGAACGAATATCAATCACACAGGCATGGTAGTGCTTCTCAAGCTGAAGCAGCGTTGCGCATGTTTTCCCTACAGTCGCTTTGCAACTCAACTAAGAAGAAGCATGAAAGAGATTTATAATGTGTGTTGATCTGTCTATTCTATATTTATCTTCAATTCATGCCGTGGCTTTGACCGCTTGCCTCTCCGTAATCATGCTATGGAGAAGCAAGGCCGACTTCTTGGGCGTACGCTCCAACGTGTTATAGTCTGTGAATGTGACGCCGAAGCGAGGTCCGTAGCCATCTGACCATTCTATGATACACTTAGCATTCTGGACCTGTGTGGTAAACCAAAAGATTTTACTTACCTAGATTGTCGAGCAGCGACCAAGCAAAGTACCCGCTGATTATCGACCCGTCTTCATTGATGGACTTGCTGATAGAATCGAGATGCTTTTCAAAGTAACGGATGCGATAAGGATCGTTCACTGCTTCGTCGCGAGACATCTTGTCCTCCCCGGGGCACGGGCACCCATTCTCGGTTATGTAGATAGGCTTGCCGTAGAGGCGATACACTCTGGTGAGGTGTTTGCGAAACATCCCAGGGCAGGACCTCAGCCAATGAAGGCCGCTCTTCTCTCCAACGGGGAGACCTTGCTTGTTCTCCTGCAACTCATCGACATTGCCAACATAGTCCGTGTCGGGGGCTGGGGTCTCCCGATGGCGTGCAAACTGGGACGTGTAGTAGTTCATGCCGTAAAAGTCCGTTTCGGCTGCTCTCAAAATCTCTAAGTCGGATTCCGTGAAGGGCGGCAATCTGCTGCCCAGCTGCGTACGCATGCATTCAGGGTAGTCTTGCTTTAAGCTGCTCAAGGTCAGAACAAAGACGAATAATGAACACACTCGGTGGCTGACTCACAAGATTGGATTGGCAAACCAACCAATATGAAATTGCATTCTTCGTTCCGCAGCCTCCTTGTCGCGCTCATCATTTGCATCCCATGGCTCGTAGTAGTCACCGTTCAGCGACACTCCGATCTTACCCTTTTGGGATGAACGAAACTCTTTGTCGTAGACTGCGACTGCACGAGCGTGGCTCATGATCTGGGCCTTACCGGTGATCCAGGGTTCAGTCGTCGAGTCTCCTTCGGTAGATTGCTTGTTGGTACTGCTTCGCCCAGGGGCATTGCCTCCTGTGGAATAGCCCTGCAGATTATATATCAGACCTACGGATCTTAAGGGAAACGATGGGGAGACCTTACAA